GATCAGTTTTCAGTGGAGTCTTTCCTTCGTCGATGCATAAACCGCACGTAATATCAAAATAAGATAGGAGATGAGCGGACATCGCAGTACTTATGTAGCCTCTAGGTTTGCAAGGACGTTAATGGTGATTATGACAAGCATTAATAACAGGTGACTCTGGATTTCAGCATGCCTCCTTGGCAGGTCAGTACCGAACCGATGGAGGACCACAATAATTTCGTTTGCTGTGCAGCCTGGGTGTTTTTCTCTTAGACTAATCTGTCTTAAGGCATAGGGAAAATATCACTGTTGCCAGCCATTTAAGACGCTTGTTATGGAGTTCGCGAGATGCCTTTACGGCTAGATGAGTTTGTTCTTCATTTTGCCTCACCCTATCACGTGATTCCCGCTTTGGACGTTGCCCACTGTCCATGTGCTTGTTTGTTTGTTTGTTGAGATCAGCACCCTGCTCTGTTTGCAGAAGTAAAACATCTCCGGTTTGTTGTGTCCACTGTATCTGCTGCTTTTCAGCAATTGCTATAAGGCACCAGTTACTGTGTCGCAGAAGGAAGTATTCCTCTTCGAAAGCAGATCTGCTTCTACTTTGTCCCTCCATGTTGCATGTTGGTCTCCTTGTCTATGTCTGCGTGTTTCGGCACTCATGCAAGAAGCGCATGGGTTGAAGTAAATAATTTACGTTCTAACAGCTTGCCAACCTCCTTTTCTTAATCACTGCATCAAACGAGGTCACCTGCACTCGGAAGAGAACAGAATTATTCTTTACATGGTCCTGCCATTTAACCTTCATTATGCGTTGAAGCCAACGCTGTTGCACGCAGTTCAGCCGTTTTTCTTGCTTCTTCGTTAGAACCACTGTCTTTGTGCCGTACGACAATACTCACACTCATGGAGGCAACTTTCAGGCTGATTTTCATCGAAAGAGTAACTCCTTAACCCAATTGCTGGACAAATTTCCAAAAGTACTCGATGCTAGGACGATCCTCCTACTTAACTCTGGTTGGATAATGCCATCGATGAAGCCGAGGTTCTTGAATTTGTCAGCCTCCTTAAGTGCTTCACCCTCTTGTTCCACCTATGTGCTGGATGATTTTCTTACCCTGTTTAACTTCCGGGCGATAAGGAAGACATTGGCTTTCGCAGCTGTGTTGCATACGGAAACCGCTAGGGGACAAAATCCGCTTCGGATACATCATATCGGGACAAGATCATCAGTATACTACAGGATAGCAAGATATTTAGCCGGATACTGATGGATTGTGGATAGCGCAGATGAGGTAATTATAGCTGTATTTTAAGTGTTTCGCTTTAAAAATACATGATATAAAAATATATTTTGTGCTGAGGGACAATATTTAACGATTTGCTACAGCAGTGGCCGATGGATGTGAACTGGGAAAATGTTTGAAAGGCGTTATTCTTGATTCTTAGCAGGTGTTGCACCTGTTCAGGGCATCAAATTTACGTTTACTATTGTAGCTTACCTTTATCGGCTGTTACAATGACTATGTGGCTGTGTAATATATAAGCACATAACTCCACAAAACCGAATTTCACGGCATTAATGCACCATATCTTTGTCTCTAATTGCCGGGGGGCATTTAAGCAAATAACGGTTTTATGGTGCTCTAGTATT